TTTTACTTGATAATATAATGATAATATTTATAATTGTCTGAAATAAATGCAATTTTAAAGTTTTAATTATTATTTAAACATATTAAAAAGTTTTACGCTCATTATTAATAGAGATTGAAACTAAATATTTTTTTGTTTCGAAGTTGAAACCAAGGCATATTTACTGCCAAAAATCAGTTAAAAATTTTCCATATTATTCGTTATTCTTATTTTATTCAATGTTTTTGGTCAAATTCCAAATTTTCTCTCAAACCGTATACTTTTTTTTAGGATAAATATTATTTATTTACCTCATGATATGCTGGAAAACCTAATTAATCATGAATTTCTAATTCTATGTACTCTTGTCTCCGATTGTACCTCCCAAACATCCTTAAGTATTCATCGTCATAACTAAATTTCACTCTAAGTATTTTCATTTGATGCGTACACAAATATGCGTAAGTATATAAATCCGAAGCGATAAAACTTTTATTTAAATCTCGTGAAATAGCGTCGAACAAGGAAAAGGAAATGCAGAAAAAAGAAATAAAATGAAATTCGCGTAATTATTCGTTTATGAGGATAATACGTACAACCACGAAGCGGAAACCTTACTAACCGGAGGAACAAATAAAAAACGGCTATAAAAAAAGGCGACATCAAAAACAACATAAAAGAAACAGTCGGCGTATGGGTTTACGTATAGAGTTATATGTGTGTACCGTTAATTTTCTTTTGTTTTCTTTCACATCTCAAGTAGCTCGGTTACACACCTCTTTACGTGGCTCGCTCATTTATTCTGGCAATTAAGTAAAGCGAATCCAAGTGGTCGTGGCCTCCAGAACATTTAACCGCATATACGAAGACCATAAAAACGCCCTCGGCTACTAAATGATAAAGGAACACAACACAGGAATTTACTAAATGTGCGCACTAAAAACGCACCCATTCGAACCAATTTTCGGGATATTACCAAATAAAATTTCTAATGGGCCTACAACATCTTTAGTTATTAACTCATTGAAATAAGTAGCAGATTATAAAATCATTTACCTACTAGCACCGGAACCTTTTCGGCTTTTCTCACTCATTTGCATTTCGAAAATCCCTCATAAAATGTGGGATATCGGTAAGCTGTAGAAGAGGGACAAAAATGTATCAAGAGAGCCCTTTGTACTATTACATTTATACAATTCGAACCAATTTTCGGGATATAAAATAAAATTTCTAATGGGCCTACAACACTTTTTGTTATTGACTAAATGAAATGTGAAATAACTAACGAATTAAAAAATCATTTACCTTATTAACACACGAATCTATTCACATTCCTTTTTTCTCATTAAATGTGGGATATCAGTAAGTTACAGAAGAGAGAGGAAAATGTACTAAGCGAGGTCCACTACCCTATCTTTTCTTGCCTTGCATACCAGTATTTTTGTTTTACTTTTATTTATTTTCATACAATACTGTTTTGTCAATACCTCTTCCATTTTATTTAAAGCTATCTCTAACTCCTCCTTGCTAGATGCTAATACTGCTATATCATCTGCGAATTTAAGCATACTAACCTTTTGCCCCTGTATATCTACCCGTACAGTTGTACTGTCTTTAATGATATTGATCGCGTCTTCGATGTGTAGATTAAAAAATAGCGGTGACAGTGTGCATCCCTGTCTGATTCCCTTCCTAATATTTACCTCTCTACGTTGCAACCTCAGGTCTATATCTGCCTGTTGCTCTTTATACAAACTAAGTATCACTCTTCCATCTTTGTAACGTATCCTTACATTTTTAAGTATATACCTATAACATCTTGTCCCATTTAATAAAATTGGCAAAAGCTGTAATGAATAATAAAAAATAACAGTTATAATGTCTTTTTTTCCGAAAGATTTACCAATTTTTTACTATTAATTTAGATGTTTTATATATCAAAAGCGTATATTTTTTAACGAAGTGATTATTGAGTAACTCAGTGACATAAGTAACAGATTATAAACTCATTTGCCTATAGTAGCGTACGAACCCTTTCGCATTCCATTTGCATTCGAAAATCCCTCATAAAATGTGGGATATCGGTAAGCTGTAGAAGAGCCAGAAAATGTATCAGCAGGAAAAGTCTTTTCGTATAATCACATTTATATACAATTCGAACCAATTTTCGGGATATTGCCAAACAACATTTCTAATGGGTGTATATACAACATTTTTAATTATTAATGCAATAAAATAACTAACAAATCATAAAATTGTTTAGCTTACTAACACACGGACCTCTTCACATTCCATTTTCAATTGAAAATCTCTCATAAAATATAAAAGTCATCTATTCGAGAAGTCATCCAAACAAAACAAACGTAGGCATTGAAATACATACTTGAATAAGGGCATGTAAAGTGGACTTCTCTCGTGAGGGTACTGTCCTTTTATCTTGCTGTATGATTACTGATTTGTATTTCGTTTAGTGCATGATAGAAGTACCTAAGTAAAGCTTCGTATTCTTTCTTATACAAATCAATGTATTTTCATACATGAATTTCACTTAATTGCATGTTTATAAATGTGAACTTGTGTCATTTGTCTTCAAGAAAGAACGACTTTGGAAGATGTTGTCGACATATACCTTGCGTGATGAAGGCGCCGCAGTATTTTTAGCTGCAAGAAGTGGAAAAATACGTTCATCTCCTGTGGTGTGACATAAATTTCCGACAGGGCTAGGTTGTTGAGAGAGCTTGTTCGCCCTTCGAGGAAAAACCGAACTAACATTAGCCATGCAGCTTGACCGTCAGTTCCGGCCACCAGAGAGTGGCCACTTAAAGGTGTCGGAACCAAACCTAAAGGGGTCCGTCCGTCCGTCGTTGTCTGCAACTTATCCACCTCGCAAAGTTCACCATCATCATCTGATGAGTACGGACTCCATTAAGGCCGCTGCTCTCCGTCGACAAAATGTGGTAAATGGCTCGCCTGTTTCCTTGGCGGGACGCTGCCAGGACGACTCCAACAACGCTGACTCGCTTCTGTCGACCTGCACTTACATTTACATCCTTCAACGTCTTTCCCACAACAAAAGAACCACCGCGAACATTCCCTTAATATTGTAGATAGAAAAATTACTTGTTTGAGTGACAAAGCATTTTTAAGAAAAAGTTTGTTTGTACCATAATAAAACTACAAAAAAGATATATAAAGAGAAGTGACCTATAAAGATTGTTCCTTTGAATTAAAACAGTGTATTAATATGTCTTAACCTTTGTTTTTACTAGTAGTCTAATAATTCACCGTAATAAGGCACTACAATAATGCTTAATTTATAAGATTGTGAGTGAAATCTAAAAGCACGCGGTAGAAACTCAATTATGGATAATAATCATTACCCCTTTATAAATGAGAGTACAGTTTAGTTCTATCTTTATCATCATCATAAGGTCGTTAGTCCTAAAGCTTGTTGGAAGTATCTTCACATTTTCCTAAAGCTAGAACATTTTACGTCCTATTTGTGAACAGTACCTAATCTAGTCTAGGTTTGCCTCTGCTCCTCTTAGTCTTAGGTCTGCATTTTGTTTTTTCCGAATGAAAATTTACATAAGTATGTTTTCTTTTAAGTTTTGTTGATTTTAAAAAAAAATTAAACTTTTGTTTAATAAAGAGGTAAATGTAGAAAAGATAGAAACCAACAAGTTTCATTCTCATGAGCCGTGTGCTATGCAGCTCGTGCATCAGTCAGTTGCTGTATTCTGCATTTTTTCCTTGTTTTTATTATTCACCAATAAAGGCATCCGATTATTTCAAAGTAAAGTACATTTTCAGTTCAGTCTCCAGTACTTTTTAAAATAAATTGCCTACCGTTCTATTAAACAGTTTATAGTTTCATTTTCAATTAAACGCTAGTTGGTAATTTTCCGTGTTTGCCGATGTACAAGCCGCAAAATTCAATTATTAGAATAAAGCAGGCGTTTTTAAAGTAGAATCTAATTACTTCGTTAGTTCATTCAGCTCCGCTGAATCCGTGACAGTTGATTCAATTTTTCTTAGAAGTTTGAACTAGAAGGATTAATTAATATAATAGAATGAACAACTCTTTATTTTTAATTTTCTCTATTATATATCCTCTCGAATAAAAATGATTAGCAACTGGTTCGTCTTGCTTTTTAAATGATAAATTATTTTCTAATTATACTAAAACCTGTTTTTTTTTTTACAGGAACAACCGTACGTGAACTCTTGACGCAATGGATGCTGGTAAGCACTTTGTTTGTAGGCTTTTCATGCCTGAACTAATTAACCGATCATCATGATATTTTGTAGGCACATTGTCAAGGATACAGAAAATGACATAGGGTACCTTTTATACAGAAAAAAATATTGTTCCCGGGAGATAGAAAAATTAGTTTTATGTGGTCGATTTCACACCTTAACTACTTAATCGATCATAACTAAATTTTGTAGAAAATGACATAGGGTAGGTACCTTCTACCCAGAAGAAAAAATGCTGTTTTCGAAGGATATAAAAATTAGTTTTATCTGAACACCTTCGTAGTTTGTAAGTTTATATTTGTTTATGACAAAAGTCCTTTTGAATAAGTTATACGTAGAGTAATTACGCTAGGTATCTATACCCAGAAAATTGTATGAAAAATTCCCTTTTCGTTAATATTCTTCAGGCACTGGGAAGGTTGTAACTCCTCATTTTGTAATTAGTTCTCAAAGAAGTCGTTACCAAATTGGGTGCATTGATATGCGCACTTTAAATCGATTATACAGGTTCTTTTAGCGACAATGTCGAAATTAAATGCGAAACAGTAGCATGCGACTATAAAAGAGTAAAATGTGCAAAAGCACCATCCCTCTCGGCAAATGTCTTTCTTGATGATTAAACAACAAACGAGGGAGCTTCATGACAGATTTGCTTCATCTCTTATCCCATCCCTCTTAGAACGACCGTCATTTCTTCGGAAAAAAAAACAACTAAGGCGTTATCATCGTCGTTAAGAGAAATAACGAGTCCCTCCTGACTTTGCGCCATATTTTTTCTCGTCCTTCTGTCTTTGAATGCCCTCTTATAAGTAATCGTGCGTCAAAACAACACTTTACTTAATGACTTACTCAATGACGGGATCTACCAAGTCGACTGCGGGTAGACGAAAGGTAAATTTATCACCTTCATTTTTAACCCGTTTATCAACGACAGAATTTATTGGCAGATTTTTAAAATAAGCTGCTCAAGTTTGTTCTATAAGGTAAAACGTAAAAGTTTTGACAGGCAGTTCTCTGCACCTTATAATAAAGCGTATCGTTCGCCCATTGTTCTGCTCCTCCTCATTTTCGTACCGCTTTACTTTTAGTTATTAGATAATCGTTTGTATCATCAATTACATGATCTGCGAAACCATGGAAGAAACGATAGTATATAATATTAGAATGAATTTATTCTACCTAATGGTGAGGAATATTCTTCAAACACGCAGACATACCAGGATAGGGGTTAAGGAATTGGTTTAATGGTATTATTTTTGTACAATATGAATTTAAATTTTACACTATACATGCCGGAGTTGCCTGTAACGAAAGTTGCACTGAAGCGCGCTCACGGCTCAAGCGATCCCCACTACGAACTCGACTACGTGGCCGAGTGGAGAAGGGACATCCGTTGCATGATTTCGTTACATAGCAACTCGCATGAAACGAACTTACTACCTTGTGTGAAGCAGTTTCACTTTAAAAATGTACTGTTTTGTACTTAGAGTGAGAGTTAAATATTCGAAAAGGAGTCAGAAAAGGATGCACATTGTCACCGCTACTTTTTAATCTATACATCATAGACGCAATCAACATCATTAAAGGCAGTACGATTGCAGGGATGGATTTACAGGGGCAAAAGATTTAGTATTACTTGGATTTGTAGATGATTTAGCAGTATTAACATTTAGCAAGGAGAAGGACAATGCAGGGTCGAATCGCCTTCAGGAGCAATTAGATCTGCTAGTTGTAAAATTGTTTGATTATTATCCTATCTTATCTCGAGCTCTCAGCTGACACGCCTACACCGAGAAATGCATAAAATAAATCAATAAATTCGAAAAATATTGCTAGAATAGTAATTGCATTGCAAACGAAATTATCATTAAAATCATTGTAAATTTCGTCCCATTCCTGTACCAAAAATGCTAAACTTAAAAGAAAATTCTACTTAAAGTGTATGTCTAACTTAGAAAATTAGATATTTTAGTTTTATTTTGATGATCCTAGGCAGGATTATCAGAATATATCTTTTTTGTCATTCTTTTTTTTAACCATGAATTTTCTGTCGGTTTTTCAAAACTGGTTAGGTAACACCTCCCTTTTTATTAAGTACGACATGTAGTTTCCGTGTTTCAACATTGTATTTAGTAGAGATAACTCTGCGGCTATGAAATAACGACCTAAGTGTTACTTGCATGTACCCGACAAATCTCAAGGAAGTTTTCAAATAAGTAGGTAGATCCATTAAAATTACAACTCCTCCCGGGACTTTACTAGTCAAAATTAGTCAAATGTTTCATGAAGAAAATAATCCTTCGGGTATAGAAAAGGCAGCTTCGTAATTATCCTCATTCTATACCCAAAAAAATTGCATTATCTATTACCTGAATTTAGTAAAATTTTGTGTTCATTTGAAATCGGGAATAAAGTAATTGTAAAGGATGACGAGTGACAATGACAATGACAATATTATGCTAAACAAGATGAACCAGATCGTTGTTCATATATTAGTGTGTCTAATTTAAGTCAGATGTGCCATCCGTCAGGCTTATTAAAGGTCATTCAGCGATATACAACGACCTGCTAATGTCGCAAACAGCTTTGTTCAGATTCAGTGCTCCTTGATTCGAGGTATGCTACATATTAACTTGCTAATTGCTGAAAGCGGTATCCACCTGCCAAGTCCTCTCATGTTGCACATGAATAATGCAGCGGCAACTGACGCAGACCCTTGATATCTGCGAGGATCTTATGTGAAGATGCCCTTTTGCTGCCTTTTAGGCGGGTATCACTGCTCAGAAGATCACATTAAATTAACGCCGTCTTCTGTCGATTGCAAATAGCAACTGCGAAAATACTAAACGCAGTGGCGGCTCGTAGATGTAGTGCATGACACGACACCATAGTGTCCTGCACTTAAACGTCTTCTGGAAACCAAATAAATACATCCAGGTGTTTCTAAGAAAACAAAACAAGAATCGACTATTTATATCATTGTACATTTATCTCACTGTTTAAACTATTCGTTTATATCAACTGTCTTGCATCGACTAACCCTCCGTGGGATGCCGGTACGGTCATGCAATGTTCCTGATTATTTAGAAACACATCCCCTAAATTGCTTTATTGACCGCGGCTGTGGTATCGATCGCTTGCGGCATTCGTTCAAGACAATGTTTTTATGATGGGTAGTAGTGATTTGTTTTGTTGTTTTTGGGCTTTCATAAAATATTTTTGAGGAAATGATTAGAGCCATTGTAAAAAGCATATAATCCACTAGCATTATGTTAAACTTTTTGTAGTATTTTATTTTAAAATATAATGTTCGATATTATTATTATTCGTACAGGTACATTTAAAAATATTATTAAGCGGTGAAACTAACGCGATAATGATCTGTAACTTTACTATTATCCCAACCAGAAATTGTGATCGTGGACCTGGAATAATACTAATGGCGATAGGTAAAATTGATTTAATTCAGAATATTCCAAATGATACCCAGTATTGCTAAATTTTCAAAAACAGTCACGCACTCTCGAAAAAGTCAAAAAGCTTTTTAACATTAAACAGGAAGTGCACTGGTAAGAAAATTATACGAAAGCTCCTGGTGCTTGTGTTGGCGTTATAGCTCTTGTATAGTTATCGATTTTCTGTTGATAACGTAGCCAACTAGAAAACGAACATTTTGTGCCCTTTTTGTTACCGTTCGCCTGAAACGTTCATATTTTCCCTTCACGTTCCTAGTCAGCTAACTTGATCTCAAAACAAACCATTTCTACAAACTGCAAACAACTTACGGCAAAATATTCGTAATCTCAACGATAAATAAGACTTACCAAACTCTTGTATAAGTAAACTGTTCCCTTGACGGCGGTCTTCTGTTCTATGTGTATGGAATCGTTATCAACTTTAGTTAAACACAAGTGAGCGTGGATAGTTTACATGCACTTAGGAATAAACACGACAAACAATATTAGCCGTAGAATTTAATCCCTTACGCAAATTATTCAATTTGTTTGCCATAATTGGAAACGCTTAATGCAAAATCTGGCATATACTATTATTTGCTATTCATGCATCGGACAATGCGAAATCTGCATAAGAGGATTAGATCATAATTGTTACGAAGTTAGGACAAGTTGAACAAATTAACTTCTCCCTCCGCTTACATATTTATTGTATTGGCCAAATTATTGTTAGAATTTATATTTGTCTACTAAAATGATTACGTTTTGTTCCTAATCACAATAGTTAATTTAATTCTAATATTCCTTGTAGAAGAAAGCCAATCGGGCACAGAGGTATCGATCGCCTGCGGCATTTACCATTTTATCGTACAACATTTCTATTTACAGAATTTAAATTTTAAACCCATAACAGTAATAAATGATTGTCTTATCTCTTTCAAATATTAAATGTGCTCCAACACAGATTAAGCTTGTCCTATGATTTTCGAAAAAATGCAGATTTTACAGAATTCATTGGGGCAACATTTTATCAAGAAAACAATTAGGAACAAAGTACTTATAAGTTTTGGATCTCTTATATTTAACAGAAAACAAATTTCAAAATTCGATTGTTAAAAACTACTATTATTTTTTTAATAAAATTGCAAGAGTGTATCATACAAAAATCATTCAATATCACCGTTTCACGAATTCAGATCTTTTCATCAGTTAGCAAATGATTATTGGAATTCAATAACGTATGAATAAAATCATCTTTAGCAGTAGCAGAAGCAGTTATAAATTTATATAGAACTGTTAGCTAAAGTAATGGCATATGAATTAAGACGAATGAAAAGCTGATCAGGATTTAAAGCTTCAGCAGTGAAACTGAAAGCTTCGACGTGTCATGTTCAACACATCTACACCACCTCCATCCCAGATTCACTGAGCCTTCATTCGTTCCCTTTTGAAACGTTCGACAACACGTACGGTTTTGTTATCCTTATCAACAGCTTTCAGGTTTGAAAGGTTTTCTTTGCTTGTCTCGAA